AGGGAAGATGTATCATTCTACTCCAAATTGACAGAAGAATTAAACACTAGTAGGGAAATACTTCAATTAATTATGGTATCATTCTACTCCTAAATGGTAGGAGAATTAAACTTTTTGCTCCAAAATAAAATCTTTATTTTTGTATCATTCTACCCTAATATGGCAGGATGATTAAACACAATTCAATACAAATCTCCTACTCTTTCAACATCATTTAGGGGATTACTTTTGACTTGTTGTTAAGTAATCGAGTATTACAATCGCCCCTCTAATTCTTGACTGTCTCCACAATAAAAAAAAGAAGGGCGAAGTCAAGTTTTTTACTAATCAAGCAAATGAATGGTGAATAGATTTGTGTTGATTAGAGGGATAAGCTTAACAAACCCAAAATTTTTTATCTACCATTTTTTGTGAGCTATTTTTCTTCTAAAATTATTAAATTTCGTTTCTTCGTTAAGTTTTTCATCCTCCTCCATAAAAACTTCTCACATAAACTCTTTTCGATTAATTTTATATCATTCTGTTAAATTTGATTCTTTTTCAAGTTTATTATTCATAATCTATACTTTTATTTAAAATCCTCTTTCTTTAAATTACTAACTTCTTGCTTTACTAATAAAACATCTCCATAATATCCCTCTTGTTTACCTGTGGCTATTTTAGCTGTGGCTGGATAGTAAGGGGAGATAACTGTTCTCATTAGAATACAATTTTCACAAGGCACAAAGAAAGTAGATTTGCCTTTATTTTCCTCAAATCATTTTTCTTGTTTACTGATACAATCCTTACAAAATCACTTCGCTACTAAACTATTACAAATATTAGGATTATCATCAATCACAATATCAAAATCAGGGGCATATTTTTTAATTCAATCTGTTTTACTCCATTGAATTTCTACTCCCCCTCCATCATCCTCTACATAATTAATCTTTTCCAAAGAACAATTAGAAAACTTGCCAAAGGTTTCTTTAAATATTTTTTCTATTCTTTCATCCCTTATTACTTCATCCTCTTTCACACCTAAAACTTTACAGTAAACTAAAAAAATAATCTGTTCTATTTTATCCTCCTTTATCAGTTTCAGCAAATCCTCAGCGATGGTCAAGAATGGTGCTTCTTGGTAGAAGTTAGAAGAGTTTTTGATTTGGATTTGTTGTTCCACTATTCTTTTAAGTTCTTCCTCTTCAACTTCATTTTCTATATTAACATAATCAAACATAAGTCTCGAACCGTAGAGAGAATACTCGACAGGTGGTTTCTTATTTCCTCAACTATTTCAAAACTTTTTAAAAAGACTAGGGAAGATTTTAGTTTTTTCCTCTCCTAAATTTTTTAACTTGCCTAGTCAATAAGCATAAGGTTCGCAAGCTTGAATTACTTCATCCCAATCACAGATGATTTTTAATTTCTTGGGGGTATCTTTGTATAGTTTGTATAAACTTGTTATTTTTCTTTGTGACATTTTTTTTGAAATTTGCTATATTTAATTTTTTAGATTTCATATTTCTTAAAGCGGTCAATTATTTTGAATTGTGTGGTAAGAAACTGTTCCTCCGCACCCTTTCAAAGGAACGGAGGCTAATTGTTTTATTCATTTTCTTTCTTATCTTTTATTACCATTCTTCAAATCATAAAGGCAAGGGCTATCAGAGTAATTACATTCATTCCAGTTAATCAGTAATTAGTAGTCAGTAAACTATTTTTACTTTCAACTTCATTATCAACCTTTTGCTTCATAACTTGGTGCTGAGTAGCAATAAGTGTTCTGATATCTTGGATATTTTCAACATTTTTTATGTCGGAGATGTAATCTTTGACTTTCTCAATTAGTTCGGTAGTTGGTTTTTGCTCGGCTTGTGCAGGAGGAGTTTTATCTAGTTTAGTTTTAATCTCTGAGATCACTGCTTCTAGAACATTTTCTTGTTCTGAGGTTGTTGCCAGACTTAAATCAGTAATAATCTTGGTCACCATTTCTTTCTCTTTATCCGCTAATTTAGTTTGGAGAGTAGCATCAGTGATGCATTCATGAGTTCGAGCAAAGTCATAGTCAGTTAAAAATTGTTGTAATTCAGCATCATTTACTTTACCATTAAGCTTAGCATATATTCGCTTATACTCTATGCTTTCTCCATTTACAGTTTCTCAATTGAGGTGATGGATAGGATTAGGGCAAGGGACTATGTTTGAACAAGTATGATTTAATTTAATCTCTTGGGTTTCTCAATCATCAGGTAAAGCCTGATTATTTAAATGTCCATTTTCATCTACCATTCCTAACATTGCTTTTAATTTGTTGTGGTTATGGAGTAGATATTCAATATATTCGGCTCAAGTATTAGGGAGAGGAAGAAGAGGATCTAAATCAAGGGCTTCTTTAATTCGGTTTTCTAAGATAGGTAAATTAGTATGGGCATCTTTATAAGGTTTTAAATTATCAGCAGTTAAATTAGGAAGATTATTTAAATAAGTTTTGGTATCATTAATAATTGTATTTGCCTCGGTTAAATCTTGGGTATGATTTCCCACTAAGAGAGTTTTGATAGTGTCTACTACTGCTTCATCTAGACTGCTATCGGCTTTAATTAAAGGTGTTCCCTCGGCAGTAGTAATTCTAGCTTGCTCTAATTTGATGGCTAATTCCATTGCTGAGCGGTAAAGAGTTAGTTTAGTTTCATTAACTGTTCATCCTTCCGCAGTAGGTTCTTCATTTAAAATACCTAATTGTCGAATAACCTTTTGTAGTTCGGATCAGTAATGATTAAAACTATTTAAACTAAGGGGACTACCATCTTCATAACGAGGGAGAGCAAGGGTAAAATCGCTAAAGTATTTTCCTTCGACTAATGAGTTGTCATTAGCAGTAGCAGTATATTGGAGGCATCCTAATAAATCTGTTTCGGATTGTTGTCAAAGCGGTAGGGCTTGGGCTTTTTCAATTACTTGTCCTAATTTAGTATAATCAATCGCTGTTCTTTCCTCATTTAAAATATCTTGGTTAACTTCAACAAATAATTCTTCTTGGAGAGTATGAGTTTGGATAAGAGCCTCATTTATTTTTTGATAATGTTCATTATTAATAGTACCATCTTCATTAAATAGTTCTAATTCCTCATTGATAGTCTCTAATTGATTTAAATAATTGTGAACTTGGGCTAACTTTGTTGCATTTAAGTGAATGTTGTCATCTTCATCCTTATCAAATAATTTATCACCTAAACCATTTTGAATGACAAATAGTTCTAGTCCTTGTTCAGTGAGGTCTTTTTTTAGGGAATTTAAGACTTCTTCATTAACTTGATCATTAGCATCAATTAAATAATCCTCTCCGCTCTGAATTCCTTTATCTTTAATCTTAGTAAATTGGATCTCGATATTTTTTAACCGATTAGCTTCGGCAATTACTTCTTCTGTTTTGCTAGCCTTGCCATTAATCACTTGACCCTCTGAATATCCAGTAATACCTAAAATGTTCAAAGCTCGTGCCATGGTATTGTGGAGGTTCAAAACAGTTTGTAATCCATTTGTGTAATGAGGAATAGTCGG